GTCCGGTCTTATCTTTTGGTTGTGTCGGACCGGTCGGTGGCCCATTCCGTGCTGAGTGCAGCGGACTGAGTTAGACCGTTAGGTCCCTCCTCTGAGGGGGCCTTCGGTTTACTTTCCGCCCTGGTTCAGGAGCTCTTGGGAGAGGCATCCTACAGGTGCGGTACATATATGTGTGTTTGGTCGGTCAGGTAGTCCACGTCAGGAGCTCTTGGGAGAGGCGTCCTGTGACTACGGATGACCTACGGTCTGTGTTACGTGGGGGTATCCTTGGTAGGAGTGGCCCTGTAACACGCATTGTTTCTTCTGCCCTGAGTCCTCTCACTGTGTGAGGGTCTTGCTCGGGCGGAGCTCCAATCACCCTTCGCTGGCCTGCTGGGAGTACATGTTCCTACGACCTCCGCGTTGTGTCCCACTAGCGAAGTCCTAAGGGACGTAGCACCATGACGTAGAATTAATAGTTACCTAATGTAACTTAAGTTCTACAAATAGGTGCGTAGTCCCTTAGCTACGAGCCCTTCAGGCCAGCCCGGCTTGGCAGAGTTCAAGAGGGGGTGCGGCCTTGTGCAGGGGCATTTATAGAGGAGGGTGGCTGGTGATTGGAGCAAATTATTTTGATCTCTCTGGCGTGTGACCTGGGGGTCACGAGTGATATCCCACTAGCGAAGTCCTAAGGGACTACGCACCTATTCGTAGAACTTAAGTTACATTAGGTAACTATTAATTATCAAAATAATCAGTCATTGCTGCCGAATATTCAGATGTTTTATAATTTAACTTTACAGCAAAAACATAAACTGCTACATAGAGCACAAATTCAAGTGACACATTAATTAACATTTATGGTCATCCCTCTCCTTGTGGACCAATGACCAATGTGTTTGTTTTTAATACTTTTCCTGTGTTTAATTCTCTGATCTGTTGATGGCAAATCAACAACTTTGTAAAGCCCTAAATCAGTTGTGGTTTAGGGCTATTGGAACGTAAATTAAATTGAACTGAATATTTATAGATTGTCGCCGTGTGATGATTTGTTGCTGTAGTCATAGAAGAACGTTAGTCAAATTGTAATGAATATGATAATTAGAGCTGTTTGGCACCCCATGTAAAACTTTGCCTCAATCTGTAGGGGACGCTAATGGGCCAATTTCAAATATTTCATTTTCACCTGATCTAAACCCTGGAGTTCAACATTGGATTTAAGTTTTGTGCAAATCAGACTTTGTTTGTGCAAACGGGAGCAAAATTAATGTTGTCAAAAACGGCCAAAAAACTCTCACATTTTGCCGCTCCGCTGCTCAAACAACGTTTCATTGATCAAAAATCCCTTTGGTCATTTTGAAGGTACATGTGTTGAGATGATGTGGAGCGATTTTGAGGCAAATCGGTGAAATGGCCGAGGAGGAGAAGATTTCCAACCGACATGTATGAAAATTATTGCGGATAATTTTTCCATTTTGCAATTTTCCCAGAATTTTTTTGAAATGTATGGGATTCCTGTTTGTCAGAGGGCGGAGCCATGATAACATTTTGCTCTTATCTTGACTTGAGGAACATGTGTACCGAATTTCATGGCTCTACGACAAACTTGACCTCTGAAACTCCCATTGGCTGTTGTAGGTGGCGCTGTTCTGGCATTTTTTGAGTCCTATAAAAATAAACACCAAAATATCAAATTTTTCACCAGGTGTGATGTTTGGGCAAAATTTTACAACTTTTCATGCATTTTCAGGGGGTGAAATTAAGGCTCAAAGTGCAGAATTTGACATCTCTCAAGCAAAAACAATTGCTGGGTTGCACCTGACGTCACGCGACAGCGCGAGAGTGCTCCGAGGGACAGGAAGTAAATCTCCCCATTAAGAACAATGTAAAAATGCACTGATTGCGAGTCAAAATGCTCTTTTTCTGTGGCATGTACAGTTGTGGCACTGGCAACTGCTCACGTCAAGTGGGGAACTTATGGAGTCTCTATTTCGCTAAAATTTATTTCACTAACGGGTGTAAATTTTAAGGAAAATGCCTAATGAGAAATTGAAGAAATGCGCTAGCATTAGCATTAGCATGCGTAGCATCTGCGGCCGCAGTCTTTACTTTGCTGACTTTCATCGATACAATGCAGTATGTTTGTGTAGTATACGGTTGTAGTAACTAGGGGAACAGAGAGAAAGAACTGTTAAATACATGTTTTAATGCCAAAAGTTGTCTCGAACCAACATGTACATGTGTAACAAAGCTAATAATAGGCTTTACAATCAGTCTTCTCACATATAATCTAGCCTTTGTGTTATGAGAGTCATTGTTCATCGCTATTTCCACGACTGGGACGGTGAGGACCAGGGTAAGGTCTGAAGTTGTATCCAAGCTCCGTGCTCACAGGACAGGTGCGTTTGTTGCAATTCCCGCTGTTAGTTTACTGCTGTTAGCTTAACGCTACGGAGCTCCCCCCGGAGCATAACAAATCACCGAAATCACAATCAAGGGTCATATTTCTCACCTCCAATGTTGTTAAAAGTAAAATGTGTGCCCTATTAATTGTATTATTGATCAGAACTATCATCTCAGACGTGGTTCTGTTGATACAAGAGTGACGAGCTCTACTGTTGTCACTATAACAGCTGCTTAATCTTTGTCATTGTTGAAAAAAATTGACTCATTCAAACTACAAGGCGTACGCTGCATTGAAAATAGTTTTCACTCAAAATAAGAGTGATACTAAGCCAAAAAATGCTCCTGTGTGTGCGTTTTTGCGTATCTTCCATTCTATTTAATAGGGGAAAAATACTTCCTGTCCCACGGCCCCATGCCACGCCCCCTTTCCCCGTTCAGGGCTCGGGCCTAAAAATCTAAAAGAAATACTTCAAAGTCAAATGAAACAATCCAATACAACACTGGGGCTCAAATAAAATTTTCCATGGAGCTATGTTTTCCACTGGGTTGTGGTCTGCGAGTCCAAGCTGCATTATTTTGTATATTATCTCTTTAGTGGTGAAATTCTCTAATTATTGTTTTTGCTCGAGAGATGTCAAATTCTGCACTTTGAGCCTTAATTTGACCCCCTGAACATGCATGAAAAGTTGTAAAATTTTGCCCAAAAATCAGACCTGCCGAAAATTTTATATTTTGGGGTTTATTTTTATGGGACTCAAAAAATGCCAGAACAGCGCCACCTACAACAGCCAAAATTATACCCCTATGGGAGTTTTGGAGTTTCTAGTTTGTCGTAGAGCCATGAAACACATGTTCCTCAACTCAAGACATGAAATAAAAGTTATTATGGCCAAGCCCTCTGACCAACAGGAAGCCCATAAATGTCACTTCAAAATGGAAAAATGAAAAATGATCCTCTTCATACATGTCGGTTGGAAAGCGACTCCTCCTCGACCGTTTCACCGATTTGCCTCAAAATCGCTCCACATCATCTCAACACATTTACCATCCTTTTGATTTCACAGACTTTTGATCAGTGAAATGTTGTTTGAGCAGCAGAGCGCCAAAAAGTGGCGTATTTTTATTCAGTTTTTGACAATAGAAAAATTGCTTCAGTTTGCACAAACAAAGTCCGATTTGCACAAAACTTGAATCCATGGTTCAACTCTAGGGTTTAGGTCATTTGAAAGTAAAAAAAAATTAAATTGGCTCATTAGCGCCACCTACAACAGTCAATTTAAAAACACCCATAGGAGGGGTTGGAGGTCAAAATTGTTGTAGAGCCATGAAATTTGGTACACATATTCCTCAAGTCAAGACATGAAATAAACTATGACCACGCCCCTTGAATAACACGAAGCCCATAAATTTCACTGCAAAATGGAAAAATTAAAAATGATCCTTTTCATACATGTCGGTTGGAAAGCGACTCCTCCTCGGCCGTTTCACCGATTGGCCTTCATATCGCTCCACATCGTCTAAACACATGTACTGTACCTTCAAAATGACCTCAGGGATTTTTGATCAGTGAAACATTGTTTGAGCAGCGGAGCGGCAAACATTTTTTTGCAGTTTTTGACAACATTAAATTTGCTCCTGTTTGCACAAACAAAGTCTGATTTGCACAAAACTTGAATCCATTGTTCAACTCCAGGGTTTAGGTCAGGTGAAAGTGAAATATTTGAAATTGGCCCATTAGCGCCCCCTACAGACTGAGGCAAAGTTTACATGGGGAGCCAAACCAGCTCTACTTATTATATTCATTACAATTTGACTAACAATCTTCTATGGCTACAGTACAAATCATCACACGGCGGTGGTATGGTGTGGTGCGCGTAGTGCGGGGCGTTGTGGAGCGGCGCGTTGCGGCTTGGTGCGGGGCGGCGTGGTGCGGGGCGGCTTGGTGCGGGGCGGCTTTGTGCGGGGCGGCTTGGTGCGGGGCGGCTTGGTGCGGGGCGGCAAGGTGCGGGGCGGCAAGGTGCGGGGCGGCTTGGTGCGGGACGGCAAGGTGCGGGGCGGCAAGGTGCGGGGCGGCGTGGCGTGGGGTGGTGCGCGCGGTGTGGGGAGTTGCGCGATGTGGCGAGGGCCATTCGACGCCGCTTGCGGCTTTAATTTGCATCTATTTTTTCTTATCTTTTTGGTGATTTTACCAAAAATACTACTTATCAATGATTAAAACATCTACACACATATACATACAAAACTGTTCCAGATGGTTATTATTACTATTTGAAATCACTGAAACAGCTCAACATGGATGTGCATTTTTATTGTACACAACATGTTCAACGGATCCATGGGATGCAAGGGCCCGTGTGGCTGCAGGATTTCATCCCAACCATGCAGGATAACATCAGTCTCACCCAAGACTGGACTCATGTTAAGAAATGGGTGGAGTCTGTGTGCTCCTGCTCTTTCCTCTGTGAACCGGTTTGACACCCCCTGCTCTAAGTGATACATTTCTGTTATTTAATCTAAAACACTTATATTTGTTTTTAATTCTTTCATTTCTTTCCTGCATCAGTGTGGAGATCATCCGTCTGGGGAACAGCTTCTTCATCTACTGGGACAGAAAAATGCACTATGCTAAGAGTGACACCCCAGCCCAGGCCCGGACCACCACCCTGAACGAGGAGCTGGGGCAAATCAAGTACATCTTCAGTGACAAGACGGGAACGCTCACTCAGAACATCATGACCTTCAACAAATGCTCCATCAACGGCAGAAACTACGGTAAAGAAAACCACTGTCAGCTGTCGATAACTCCATGTTTTGTTATTGTTTTTCATCATTCATAAGCCAAACGATTAATTTCACTACATATCCAGGTCTATTCAACAATTATAACAAAATAATTCTTGAGATGATGTGATGGACTACATCTTGAGTCTGCTGACGTCACCCATAGTGTTTGCCAAATGTGGAAGAGGCCAATTTAAACATAGCTAGCAGCAGCCAATTTCTTTATAAGGGCATACATTCTGATGGGGTTGACTTTGCACCGTAAACAGGGGCAGAGTTGTTGCTGAGATGGTTATAAATGCAAGATTGAGTGCTAAACCATTGATTTTTAAAGCTCAAAATGTGGAGTGGGGCAACGTTTTTTGAGCTAGGAGAGCTGTACGGTATAATGGTATATTATACATGTACGTTTTCCATGATTGGATGTACTGTATTTATTATATAGACCACAATTGTATAAAGAAGTAGCTCTCTGCCATTTCATTTTCATAAAAGTAGTTCTCCAATTGATCAGGTTTAGAGACTGCATTCAAACTTCATTAATATGACAGGAAGATAGTTTTTCATTACATTTTTTACACTAATCCTAACATTTCATTTAAAGTTAAACGTGTCTGTTTTTTGCAGGAGAACTTTTTGACTTTTCTGGACAAAGAGTTGAAATCACAGAGGTAAGTTTCTTTAAATTAAAATACACTATTGCTTAACCAAGGCAAGAAGCAGAAAATATAGTGTAGCTTGATGTAAAAGACCAGACAAGGAAAACATATACAGATACTGTAACTACTGTACTGATTCTTGTGAACATGTGACTTGTAGAAAACCCCGAGAGTGGATTTCTCGTGGAACAAGTTGGCTGATCCAAAGTTCATCTTCCACGACCACAGTTTGGTGGAGACTGTGATGGAGGGAAACCCAGAGGCCCAGGCTTTTTTCAGGCTGCTGGCCGTGTGCCACACCGTCATGCCCGAGGAGAAGAACTCAGGTGGATAACAGCAAAAACACTCTATTTTAGATCTAGCTCATTAACAAATCAGTTTTGTGATGTTGTTGAAAAAACAACATTATCAGGTATTCTAGTAGAAGTCAAGTATTCTACACCAGCGACTACTACTCCTGATACGGGGTCAAATGCTGCAGACAAATTTGCACACATCAACAATAAAGGATAATATAATAATACAATTTTCACAAAAGTGGAAGTGGTCTATTTATAGAAACTGCAGCTTATGTAAGATTAAATGCTAAGTAATGATCATATGACACGGTACAAAAATGTCACATGGAAAGAAAAAGTCAGAAGTCTTGCTCATGAACAATCCATGTGGTTTTCCCAAAAGAAAGAGTTTTGTAAAAGTTAATGTTGTGAACAAATCAGACCACAACATGCTGTCTTCATTTCTTTCACAAAATTCACGATTTGATGCTTTGCGTTGAAAGCTGATTGGCAGAGATAGGGTGGTCCTCTTCTTCCCCTTTCTGTCTGATAAAGCTCTGAAGAAGATCTAAAGAGGAAGAAATAAATGCTCGTGCACACTGTTGATAGAACCATAAAGTTTGTAATCAGAGGTACAAGTTAGATTAATTTATATTACATGTGTATGGAGACTTTAACATTAGTGTTTTTTTCTCTGTCCAGGGGAGCTGTACTACCAGGCCCAGTCACCAGATGAGGGCGCTCTTGTGACAGCAGCCAGAAACTTTGGCTTTGTGTTTCTGTCCCGGACTCCAGACAGCATCACTGTGGTGGAGATGGGACACCACGTGACCTATGAGCTCATCGCTGTTCAGGACTTCAACAACGTCCGCAAAAGGATGTCTGTCATAGGTTTGTATGGAGCTGCTGAGGGGGCGGAGCTTAGGGCTTCAGGAAGTAAAATTACCCCATAGAAGTTTTGAAAGATTCATTCAAGAGCACAATTAAAACAACAAAATACAACAAAACATATTCACCAGTGTAGCTGCAGCTAAATCTGCTGCAAATCCTCTCTTCTTTTGTATAGACTAACGGTTCTGTACATTGTCCTGTTCTAATAACTAAATAATAAACTAAACTAAATGTGGTGGATCTTATTCATAGACTATATCTGGAAAACACATGTTGCATTAATTTAGATCTTGTGGTCATTACTCACTCGACAAAAAAGTGTTCACTCTTTTGTAATAAAAAAAAATCCCTGTGGGGATTTTGTAAGGTGAATTTTACTTCCTGCACCATGACACCTTGATGTGTACACTACATTTTTATGAGACTGTGAGGATTAATCTCATTATTTGACACTTTTCATCTGTCAAATAATAATCACTTGAATAGATAAGACAAGTTTTAGTTTATTGCATTATCAGAAGTACAAGTTATTAACCTAATTAAAAATAATACATTTGCCATAAGCGTTTTAATTCCAACATTTTTTGTCGCATTACCATTTCCAGTTCTTTCTTTTAGTACATTTACGTGCTCATTTTACATTATATATCTCTCACCTCTTTGTAAGTTTAAATATGATCTTTTCTCTGTGTTGTTATTGCTTTTAGTTCGTAACCCAGAAGGAAAGACGACTCTGTTCTGCAAAGGCGCTGACACCATCATCTATGAAAGGCTCCATCCTTCGTGTAAAAAACTAATGGAAGTGACGACACAGCATCTAAACGTGAGGAAAAAAAGTACAATCTAATGTTTTAGCAGTGGGATGAGATTCAATTCTAATTAGATATAACCATAGTTTATTCATTCTTGCCCCACTTTAAATCTGGGGTACATAACTTTCATATATACCACGTGAAATATACTACGTAAAAATCCATATAGAGTTTAGTTTGGTGGTCCACTCTTTATCCACAAATTAACTTGACCTCCATGATGCGAGCTCAGACCGTTGATTTGAATGGACAGACTTATGTTGGACACCGGGGCTTAGAGATCACACAGGATATACCCCTGACCTAAAAACCAGCCAACACCCGGGGCCAAGACATTTAGAATCAATCCTAACAATTTTGACCAAATATGCATTTATTGTGATTAGGTTGGTCACGGTAATTACTATATTGTCCAACAAGTGGTGAATAAAGAAATATTTCAACCTTGTGTAAATTTTATTTAACCTGGCAAGAGCCAGATTGATGATTTTGTAGAACTCTAATGCGTTCTCCACAATATCAATCTGGGACTTCTGCAGGAGAATCCTTTCGGGGAAAGGAGGGATAAGCAGCAGAATACTTTAATCTGATTAGGCGAAGTGACGCTGTGTGCCCGCCTACCAAGGTTTGACTTAGTAAGTAAGTAAGTAATGTTTATTTATATACCGCCTTTCACAGACAATGGTCACAAAGCGGTTTACAATTGTTATTATTATTTTTTTTGGGCATTTGTCCTCTCACTCCACACAGAGATGGGAGCGTACATATTTTTAGTGGTAGGGGAAACCGGAGTACCCGGAGGAAACCTACGCAGACACGGGGATAACATGCAAACTCCACTCAGAAAGGCCCTGGTCCGACCGGGATTCGAACCCAGGACCTTCTTGCTGAGAGGCGAGAGTGCTATCCACTCTGCCACCGTGCCAATCCCGGTAACATCTTTGCCGTCCAGAAATGCACAAAGCGCCTCTCGCTGTTCATCTTTCAAAAAATAAATTGGAGATTCTGCTAAAACTGACTTGATAGCCTCAGCTACGCGTCCGTCCTCCTGCGTAGCCATGTTTGTTTTGCTTCGGCCCGGCACTTCTTGCTTTCGTCAAACCCGGATATCCCGCCCTAAACCCCCAGACTGGCGCGTGATTGGCTTGAACACCTAGATGTTCTACTCGAAAAGGGTTGGCGGGAGCGGGGCAAGATGGATTCTCGAGTGTTTGTGAACTCACAAATACCGCGAGAATTCAGCTTGCAGGCAAGGTTAAATTTTATTTGCAAAAGAAGATTTTCGCTATTTTTTATTTAAGACAATGAATTATAAAATAGCAACAATCTCTCTACTTTGAGGCTTTAGTTGTAGCTCATGAGTGTCAAACCCTCCTCAAAGGACAAGCAGGAGCCACTTGTTATTTATTGAAACGGTTTTGTTGATTTCACAGTAACAATTATTTCTAAAGCTTATATTATCATATATTTTTGTCTGGTGCACACACAGGTGTTTTTGCACGTGTATTCCCAATGTGGTTTTACTGCAAATGTCAATAAAATGAATCTGAATCTTGACACCCCTGTGTCACTATTGTTTGTGCCTCTGTCCTTACCATCGCTGGTATGTACATTTGCTGAAAATGTCTAAACTGTTGTATCATTTGCATCCTGTCTATTCTATAAGCTATGTTTGACCGTAAACGAAAATGATATTGCACTTAGTTTTGTGTTCTGGAGTGTAGTAGTATTTTACAAAAGTGTTTAAGTTATGAAAATTTGATTTTTGTCGCCCTGATCTACATAGATCAGGGCGACAGTAGCTCAGTTGGTAGAGCATTGGCCTTTGGGCCTGAAGGTCGTGGGTTCGAGCCCACCATAAGTCCTACTTCACGACTCCCAATGATGACTGCTGTTGTTGTGTCCTTGGGCAAGACACTTAACCCCACTTTGCCCAAAGCCCCAACTGAAAGATCTCAGCTCCTGTGGACTCACCACCTGCAGGAGGATCAGTGAGGGGCTGGTGCTAAGTGGACTGGGTGCAGCTCTGACTGCCACCCCCCCGACCCAGAAATGGATTAAGGGGAAGAAAATGGATGGATGGATGGACCTTAGTGTATCACATTTTAAGCCCTTTGGTATTGATATGATAAACAGTATATTTAGCTACATATATTTTTTTATGTATTTTTAAAGTTGAAATCATGTTTCAAATGTAAACTAAACACTATAGAAATACTCTTGTCATTAATCATTTTTTGACAAACACCTCTTACATACTCTTATTTTTAAGTTAATTTAAAAGATCAGTCTACATATTTTCCACTGTACATGTGTTGTACAGGTACAGCCAGTGTGGATTGCAAAAATATGAATAACAATAATACATTTTTGGACATGAAATTGTTCCTGTGTGTTGACTAAAGACCCAAAAAAATGTACTGATGGATTTTGTGAAAAATGAAAAATGTATATTTCTTGTGTAGCTGCTGGGCTCTTCTGCGGTGGAGGACAAGCTGCAGGATGGGGTCCCTCAAACGATCGAGCAGCTGGCAAAGGCCGACATCAAGATCTGGGTTTTGACTGGAGATAAGCAGGGTGAGTCGCTTTGAATATGATCCTGATTTTAGTTCAGTCCATTTTTTCTTTTTAACTTTTCTGTCTGAAAAATCTAAACCTAGGATAGAGGCCAACACTGTTTAACACCAGGATGCCAGAATTCTGAAACTACTAGAACCGATTTGACTGCTCCCATTCACACCAAAGTCATTCTGAGAAATCATCCCAAAAATGTTTAGTGTTCCTGCAGATGTAATTCATATTTTTTGACATTCATTCACTCTTACTATGTGCTGAAATCATACAATACAACTTTACATACAGGAAGAACAGTTTGTTCAAAGGCTAAACAGTAAACAGTGTGTTGCTATGGTAACTAGCATCAAAACCAGGACCAGTCCAGGACCAGCACCTTGAAAAAGGGGCTTTACCCAACAACAGAAAATGTTGCTTAAAAACTAAAACTACTCTTGTTACAAAAATAATAAACTGCATATAGAGAAATAAAAAGTCACAAAGTTATGAAGACCAATAATGTACTGTCTTTTCACTTTTTAACATGTTTGCACATTTCCTGTCTTTTTGCACACCCTGAGTGATCCTTTTATACCAAATGTAACATGTGCATTTCTCCATTGTGATGTCAATAAAGTTTTATCTTATCTTGCTCTGATACATACGCTGAGTGCACTTCCAAAACTGCAGTCAAATGAACCGCTCTGCAAGTTCTATTCCTCTCACACCCACTGTAGCCAGATCAAGGGTCCTATCTAACATTAATTTCACCTTGGAGAGACCCATGAGGAAAATGCCGTTAGACTTATTAGATTTAAGCATGTTTATTGATTGAGCATGTTTGGCGCCCTAGGCCCGGGAGGGATGCTGTTGAGCACGGCGCTTGCTCGCGTGCATAATCCCCCCCGGGGCCTAGGTACTGGTGACGGCAGAGGCAGTAGGCAAGCACGCTTCGATGAGAGAAGGAGGAGGTGGGGCGGCGGAGGCTTGCAGACTTCAGAAGGCCGGGAAGTGGGAGTCTCCGGCTTTTAACTTGCTGTCCTGGTGGTTATTGGTTGACTGGATGTGGGCGTTGCTGGTATTGATGAGTCGAGGAAGAGCAGCCTGTGGCCTGGGCAGCAGCAGCCGGGTCTACCACGGTGAACTTTCGCGAAAGCTCCATTTCACCTTGGAGAGACCCATGAGGAAAATGCCGTTAGACTTATTAGATTTAAGCATGTTTATTGATTGAGCATGTTTGGCGCCCTAGGCCCGGGAGGGATGCTGTTGAGCACGGCGCTTGCTCGCGTGCATAATCCCCCAAAAAGCGGGCCTGCGATTGGGATAGCAGGACGTACTGCGCGGGCCTGAGAGCATGAGTGAGAGGCTTCTCGCACAGTCGCTCAGCCGGCTGCGTCCGCTGGGGCCCGTGTTTGTTTAGGCAGAGTGAGCTGAGAATATGAGCGTGCTCATATTCAGCTAGACGCTGAAGCAGGGGAATCTTTGAGCGAGCTGAGAACATGCGCGCACGCGCACGTTCAGCCAGACGCTGCAGCAGAGGAGTCTTTGAGCGAGCTGTGAATATGAGATGCACGCTCATATTCGCCAGACGCTGAAGCAGAGGAATCTTTGAGCGAGCTGAGAACATGCGCGCATGCGCATGTTCAGCCAGACGCTGCAGCAGAGGAATCTTTGAGCGAGCTGAGAATATGAGATGCACGCCCATATTCAGCCAGACGCTGAAGCAGAGGAATCTTTAAGCGAGCTGAGAACATGCGCGCACGCGCATGTTCAGCCAGACGCTGCAGCAGAGGAATCTTTGAGCGAGCTGTGAATATGAGATGCACGCCCATATTCGCCAGACGCTGAAGCAGAGGAATCTTTGAGCGAGCTGAGAGCCAGACGCTGCAGCAGAGGAATCTTTGAGCGAGCTGAGAATATGAGCGCACGCTCATATTCAGCCAGACGCTGCAGCAGAGGAATCTTTAAGCGAGCTGAGAACATGCGCGCACGCGCATGTTCAGCCAGACGCTGCAGCAGAGGAATCTTTGAGCGAGCTGTGAATATGAGCGCACGCTCATATTCGCCAGACGCTGAAGCAGAGGAATCTTTAAGCGAGCTGAGAACATGCGCGCACGCGCATGTTCAGCCAGACGCTGCAGCAGAGGAATCTTTGAGCGAGCTGAGAACATGCGCATGTTCAGCCAGACGCTGAAGCAGGGGAATCTTTAAGCGAGCTGAGAACATGCGCGCACGCGCATGTTCAGCCAGACGCTGAAGCAGAGGAATCTTTGAGCGTTTGAGGAAAGTGCGTGCCGCCACCAGAATCGTATTGCTTACTTGCTTTGCTGGGAGCTTACGAGGAAGCCGGTAGACGTTGTGCTGCCATGATAGCGGTCGCATCTGGCCTGATGTAGGTGGAGAAAGCCGAAGAGGACCAGCGCCCCAGCTGTTGCAGAGAAGAGTGGGGGAGCCCCAGCGAGGTCGCGCGCGTGGCAGCGCCTATCCTGAAGGAGTGGGCTGTATAGAGCTGGGGAGACAAATTGCAGAGGAGCAGTAGGGATCTTAGCTGAGCTCTGAACCAGGTTGCTGTTATGGGAAGGTTGACTGGAGTGAGAATTAGAGGTCCGTTAAAATCTCCTTTTTGCCGCGGAGGCGAGTGTAACGCATCATGGACCTGTAGGGGCAGAGAGATGTGTCGAAGCGAGCTATTATTGTGTTGCAGGCGCCTCTGATCTTTGAATGTTTGAGATGAAGGTTGAAATGGTCAGGGGACATTATGTTGGGTGAGAAGAGCGACCTTTGTTTAATGCTTCCACTACGTCGAGATGATCACGCATGACAGAGATCCTCTTTCTCTGCCACGTGTGATTCCGCAGCGCGCAGGCCACGACCACTGGGAATGTCTCGTGTAGGGCAGAGGAAATGCTCCGGGGAAAAGTAGCGGGCCACGGCCCGGCGAACCACTGGTCCTGGAAGAACCCCCCAAAACCCACGGAAGGGGCAGCGTCCGTGTAGAAGCGGAGACCTGTAGGGGCAGAGAGACACACCGGAGAGGGCCATTGATGTTGCAGGCGCCCTTACGCTTAGAATCTTGGGTTGGAGAGTAGATAATCAGGACAGTAGGATAGGTCGGGAAAAGCCGTGTCTCGGACCGCATTGAAGGTTGAGTGAGCAGTAGTGAACTCGCTTATGCAGAGAAGCCACAAAAGGCGAGCAGGAAGATGCTGCGAGGAGGGCAGACATGTACTTGGAAGATGAGCCGGAGTTCAGTGCCGCTCAGAGCCGCTGCAGGATGGGCAGCGTGATGGGGAGCCTGCGATCAGAAGAGTGAAGAATACAGGTATGGATGCCTTTGATTAGGAGTTTGATTGACAGCTCAGCGCAGCTACTCGGCCAGCTGCATCTGATAGAATCAGAAGATTAAGTAGATTAAGTAGAGATGAAGCATGACCGCCGAAGTGACCCTGAGAGCATAGGTGCGAGTCCAGCGCAGCGCGGCATACTCAGCCGGGCTGCATCCATTAGAGCAGGATAAGCTTCTGAGAGAGTGGGTTGCAGCTTTTTTTTTTTTTGGCAGCAGCAGTAACCTCAGATAATAACAGCAATAGTCCTGTATCAAGCCGCGGCAGCAGCAGTAGCAGCAGCAGCAGCATCCTTAGAAATAACAGTAATAACCCTGTATCAAGCCACAGCAGTAGAATGTTGTTGTAGCTGTTCAGTGTTTCAGTAAAAGAGATTTAAGTGAAGAGAGATGTCAAAGTAAATGAAGCAGCAGCAGCAGTAGCAGTATGAAGCAGCAGCAGCAGTAGCAGCATCTGTAGATAATAACAGCAATAATCCTGTATCAAAGCCGCAGCAGTAGAAATTGTCGTAGCTGTTTAGTGTTTCAGTAAAAGAGATGCGAAGTGAAGAGAGATGTCAAAGTACATGAAGCAGCAGCAGCACGGCAGCAGTAGCAGTATGAAGCAGCAGAAGCAGCATTAGCAGGAGCAGCAGCACCACAATGCGATTCATGCGTGCCCCGCTTGTCTCCGTGAGCCAGGTTACATACGTGTCTGAAGAGCCGAGCCGTAGAGACAGGTGCAGCCTAGGAGCCAGCGGAGCGGCAGTGGCAGGAACAGCAGCAGCGGCACATGCAGTAGTAGGAGCAGCAGGAGCAGGCAGCAGGGACAGACAGCAGCAGGAGCGGCAGCAGGAACAGGCAGCAGCAGGAGCGGCAGTGGGAACAGGCATCAGCGGGATCAGGCATCAGTAGGAACGGCAGCAGGGACCGGCAGCAGCGGCGGTCAGAGAACCATGCCCATGGTTGTTGAACAGCCTGAGGAAATAATCAACCCGAATCCGAAACATTCCCATGCGAATAACAGATGTCCCCCGGAGCCATCTTCTGCTTTGGTTATGGCAGAGACGCATGAACGATCACTTTTCCACGCGTTCATTAGCTCCAACACCAATTCACAACCATTGCAGATCACATTGGCCCTTTTTCTTTCTGCTGCACTTTCAAAATGCAACAACTGCAGTTTAGTTACCAATTTAATACTAGTGACCTAGCTCTTTAAATGCATGGCCCCTCTTTCCTCCTGCAGATAGACGGATTTAAATACATTCATTTAACAATAGTGACCTGCGAGTAATGAGATTAATGCCGTAAAGATGGCGCCGTGGCAAGAGCTCTGGTGTGTGCCGTCTGGAGCACGATGGGGTAGTCTTTGCACATGTTTTCCAACGTGGTTTTACTGCAAGTGGCAGAACATGAATCTGAATTAATGCACACTGCTCCTTTTATATCCCTCAGACAATAGAGATTTGATGCCATTTAGATGCATTGCCCCTCAGTTAGCTCAAACACGTGTGAAACGGAGCCTGCAGACCAAGCACGGGGCGAAAACTGGCGCCTGTAGTCAAGTGCGCAGGGCAAAACCAGCCGCTTGCAGCCCAGACTCAGGGATTAATCCGTCCGCAGGTCAGCACACTCACTGTACTCACATGCCAGGAGACGTGGGAAAAGCAACGGGACAACGCGGCACCGCCAGTCGGAGGCAGGGACACGCACGGCACCGCCAGACCGTCTGCGCGCGGCAGCAGACCACGAGGAACGAGCAGCACAGGACCCGCGGAGCAGCCCGCAGAAGAGCCCGCAGAGAGAGCAGTGGAGACACGCGAACCACAGCAGGTGCAGGGACACGGAAGAGGAGCAGACCACGAGCAGCCAGACTGAGAACAGCCGGGCCACGCGCACGAGCAACACGTGAGCAGAAAGCGACCCCTCCAGAACAACGCGTGCATTTGCGAACAGGAGCGTTAGCGACATGCACCTTGCAGACTTCAGAAGGCCGGGAAGTGGGAATCTCCGGCTTTTAACTTGCTGTCCTGGTGGTTATTGGTTGACTGGATGTGGGCGTTGCTGGTATTGATGAGTCGAGGAAGAGCAGCCTGTGGCCTGGGCAGCAGCAGCCGGGTCTACCACGGTGAACTTTCGCGAAAGCTCCATAACTTCTCCCCATACGTACCTCCAAAGCCACCTAGGGCGTCCAACTCAAATTCTCCCACAAAATCCACCCGTCCCTCAAATTCTAACTCGAATTCACCCGCAAAATCCACCGGTCCCTCCCCTAACCCCAAAACCATTCCAGCCCCCCCCCCCCCCCCCCCCCCCTCGTTTCCCATCACCAAGAACCCCTCCACCTCCACTCCCCCCTCGTCCATCTCCCAACTCCTGCCCCTCCCCTAACACCCATCCACCTCCAACCCCCCCTCGTCCAACACCCAAGAACCACCCACCTCTCCATCCTCCTCCCTCCTCTCCCTAGGATGCACAGGGTCTCTGCTTCGCAGCCACTGGCAGTCTAGTTAGAGGAGAGACCTGGCTGGGGCCTTGTCATGAAGCCACTTGTGCCATTCCCTTAGTGATAACACAAAAAATACATTACAGAAAGACATCTGGAGTTAATCAGTCTAATCTGGAAAATCTAATTCTTGTTCTGTGTAAGAATCAGCCGACCACAACCGCTGACACTGAAACTTTGAAACTTGCTATGCTAAATGTCAGATCTTTTTTAATCAATAATTTTATTTGTTCTCATAATCTTGCTCTTATGTTCATGGCTGAAACATGGCTTGACCAAAATACAGAAAATGTAGTTTTAATAGAAGCATCACCACCAAATTTCAAATTTGAATCTGAAATACGGGAAAACAAAAGGGAGGAGGCTTAGCTGCCATTTTTAGAGACCACTTTGTCTCCCATAGAATGTCTCTTGGGAAGTTTCCATCTTTTGAATATGTGTCTTTTAAAATACAACAAAAACAATCTCCTCCAATACTCTTCATAGTCCTATACAAGCCACCGCAGTCATGTCACAGTTTTATTGATAATTTTACCGAGTTGCTTTCAGTTGTATGCACAGATTTTGATAGTTTAGTTATTACAGGTGATTTTAATATTCATGTGGATAATGTTGATGACAGAAATGCAAAAGAGCTGAGTTCTTTACTTGATACCTTTGGTCTCACTCAGCACGTGAGTGGCCCCACCCACAGCAGAGGGCACACTCTAGATCTGTTAGTTACTAAGGGGGTGAATATTTCAAATATAAGCGTGGTCGATGTTGCTCTTTCGGATCATTTCTGTGTATTTTTTGACATGTGTTTCACTAACAAACCACCAGTGGACTCTGGAACTGTTCAAAGAAGACACATGAATGAAAATACGAGTGAACTATTTATGGGAATGATAAACTTTGAAAATACATCGTATTCTACTGTAGATGAACTGTTTAACTCTGTCACCTCTAGTGTTTTGAATGTTCTGGATACCGTTGCCCCTGTGAAGGTTAAAATAGTGAAAAATAAGCAGAAGGCGCCGTGGGCTAAAGTAGACTCGGTCAGAGCACTGAAGAGAAAGTGCCGGAGGGTCGAGCAGAAGTGGCGCAAGTCCAACCTCCAGGTTGATTACAAGATATTCAAGGATAAGTTGTGCGAGTTTAACCGGGTGCTACGTAGTACGAGAGAAAGGTATTTTTCTGAAATGATTGAAGGCTGCAGTAACAATCTGCGTGTTCTGTTTTCAACAGTTAATTAACAAACCCCCCTGTTCAAATGCCATTAGAGCTAACTTCCAAACGTAAATGCAATGAGTTTGCACACTTTTTCAATGACAAGGTTCAAGGCATCAAAAACGCCATTGTCTCCAATCCACAGATAACAATCCAACAGCCAGAAAGGCTCTTTGAGCTAACTCACTTTGCACCTGTAGATGATAAAAATGTCCAAGAGATAATCTCCAATTTGAGCTCCTCCACATGCAGCCTGGATGTACTACCCACTAGATTTCTGAAGTCTGTTCTGAGCAGTCTGTTACCTTCACTAACACAGATAGTAAACATGTATATTATATATATATATATATATATATATTATACTGTATGTATAATATTCCCAAAGGCCCTGAAAACGGCAGTCATCAGGCCCCTTCTAAAAAAGAGCAGTCTGGATGCCACTGTACTTAACAACTATCGTCCCATCTCAAATCTGCTCAAAATTTATGGGGAAAGTCCTTGAAAAAGTTGTCTACCTACAGCTTACTAGATTTCTTATAATCTTATAAACTATGTTTCAGTCCGGCTTTAGACCCCACCACAGCACTGAGACTGCTCTCGTTAAGGTTACAAACGATATCCGGTTGAACACTGACGCAGGCAAAGTCTCAATCCTAATCCTGTTAGATCTGAGTGCTGCCTTTGACACCGTCGACCATGAGATCCTCTTACAGAGACTAGAGGACTGGGTTGGCGTCGCTGGCACCGCCCTAAGTTGGTTTAGGTCTTACCTTGAAGACAGGAAGTACTTTGTGGAGAATGGAAACTGTGTCTCAGATCATATGGCCCTGACCTGTGGAGTACCACAGGGGTCGATCCTGGGACCTCTTCTGTTCAATCTCTACATGCTGCCGTTAGGTCAGTTAATACGCAGAAACGAAGTGTCCTATCATAACTATGCAGACGACACTCAGATCTATGTCTCACTGACTGCAGGAGAACATGGACCAGTGGACTCACTCCTTCACTGTATCCAACAGATCAGTGAGTGGATGTAAAACAACTTCCTTCAGCTAAAAGCAGACAAAACTGAAATGATTGTCTTTGGTCCCCAGAAACAAAGAGAGAGCGTCATCTGTCACCTCCAGTCTCTCTCCATAAAACCTTCAAACAAGGTCAGAAATCTAGGGGTAATACTGGACTCAGACTTAAATTTTAATAGCCACATCAAATCAGTGACATCAGCAGCTTTTTACCATCTAAAAAACATTGCCAGGATCAAAAACATAGTGTCTAAAGCAGACTTGGAGATTCTTATCCATGCATTTGTCTCCAGTAGGTTAGACTACTGCAATGGCCTGCTCACAGGTTTGTCCAAACAGGCTGTAATACAGCTGCAGTACATTCAAAATGCAGCAGCTCGAATCCTGACTAGAACCAGGAAGTACGACCACATTAGTCCGGTCCTCAGGTCTCTGCACTGGCTACCTGTGGCTCAGAGAATAGACTTTAAAACAGCTCTGCTTGTGTACAAGTCTCTCCATGGCCTCGCACCAAAATATATTAGTGACATGTTAGTACCATACGAACCAGCCCGGACTCTGAGGAGCACAGGGACTGGACTCCTGTTAGTGTCCAGAGTCAGAACTAAACATGGGGAGGCTGCTTTTCAGATTCATGCTGCTAAAATCTGGAACAGTCTTCCTGAAGATGTGAGACAGGCCTCCTCTCTAACGATGTTTAAAACCAGGTTAAAGACAGTTCTGTTTAGCTGTGCATACAACTGAGGGATTTTATATTTGTATCTTTCTTTTTAATGTTCTGTGATTATTTATGATTTTAATGCTTTCTTGTTTTGTTCAGCACTTTGAGTGGCCTTGTGTATGAATTGTGCTATACAAATAAACTTGCCTTGCCTAGTGTTAAGAGCGAGGAGTGAGATGGACTTGATTACATTGTTACATTTCTTGTGCTTTTTGTGCTTCTCTTTTATTTCTCAGAGACGGCTGAGAACATCGGTTATTATGCTGTTACTTACGGTAACGGGAAGCCGCGTCGAGAAGCAAGCAAGATGCCATTTTATTAATAAAATCATTAAAAAAGAACAAAAAGAGTTTTGCGACTACTTTCACTGCACACTTGTTCACTGTGATGCCCTCTACCACTGTGTAATTCACTTTTACTGTAGAAATTCAGAGATAATTGGGGTCAAAGTGTGCCATTTTGGTCCCAAAAGCACTTTTTAAAATGAATTTTAAAATGAATTGTAAAATATGGAAGTACCTGTTCTGAAATGGGCTGGCAGTCGATGAGTTAATAAGAGAACCTTTGTTTTCAGTGATGGAGCTTTCGCGAAAGTTCACTGTGGGAGACCCGACCACTGCTGCCCAGATCTACAAGCCTGCTCATCCTCGGCTCATCATACCAGCAACACCCACATCTAATCAACCAATAACCACCAGGACAGCAAGTTAAAAGCCGGAGACGCCCACTTCCCGGCCTTCTGAAGTCTGCAAGCCTCCGCCGCCCCACCTCCTCCTTTTCTCATCGAAGCGTGCTTGCCTACTGCCTCTGCCGCCACCAGTGCCTAGGCCCCGGGGGGGATTATGCGCGCGAGCAAGCGCCGCGCTCAACAGCATCTCTCCCGGGCCTAGGGCGCCAAACATGCTTAATCTAATAAACTTCTAACTGCATTTTCCCTCGTGGGTCTCTCCAAGGTGAATTGCAAATGGAGCAGGGCACTAGGGTGGAGAGTAAAGTCAAAATGACCTTAAATCTTGCATTGTTAAAGCTGGTGTTAGCTTTTAGCTAAAGGTGTTTCCTATGATCTCCTTCACTTTTGAAATTCAAGCTGCAGTGTAGATGAACATAAGAGGCTGAATAGAAAAGCAATCATGGAATGTATATCTCAAAGGATTTTTCCATTCCTTAAAAAATTCTTCCAAAGAAAATCACTTCCAAAATCTTGATCAATCATCCCTCGTCCCCTAACTTCATAAAAATCCCCAAACCTTTTCAGTTGTGTCTAACAGATACAACCCCTTGTGAAAACATGGTTATTACAGTTTATTTTTATGAAAACGCAGAGTTAAACAATGTATCTACCTTTATTTCATTTATGTAAACAAGCAGTCAATAAGAAAAACACACAAAAAACAGACACTTCCAAAATTGAGTGTGAATCATACTACAATTACAAAGTACAGACAGGCACCTACAACAGTTTGGAATGTTGAAATCTCACTTTTGGCTATTTTCAAGTTCTGTCTTTTATTCGCCCACTTTGACACGTGTTTTGTAAACGCAATTATGTCGTGACAAGCACCTACACATTTGACTACTTTTGAGACGAAGACTGGTGTCCTCCGCTCCCCGGTAGACGCCAGCTCACCACCTTCACCCCAGTTCTACTACACAACTAGCAATCAACACAGCAGGCCCAGTTCCACACTTGTGCTGCAATGAGCTCGAGCCGCAACCCTCCTCCTCCCCATTGCCTCTACTTTTATCCATGTCATCGCATCACCTCTTTAGCTTTCACTACCTGGATTTAAAAATTAAAAAAACACATATACATCTTTGGAAAGGTTCTACAGTCTTTCCAAATTTAAATAGTAGCGGTAATAGTAATAATTCTGGGTTAGTTTATGGTTCTCGTTGGTACTATCTGACATTATTTGGCCCAGAGCACATGACCATTACTGACACTTGAATTGCTGTATTTTAGAATTATTTGAAATTATTTTGTTTTATGATTTTAATATTCCCTTTCTTGTTTTGTGACATAACTTATTGCTGTGGATATTGACAGTGATGCAGAAAAAGGTGCATAAAGAGACATTTACCCTGCGATTCCGCTCATAAGTGCACTTTCATGTAAACGTCATAATACTAAACATGCCGGCCATGTTTGTAGTCCCCGCAGCCTGCGTCTCAAGTTCTTTCCTAACCCACATTTAAAGATGGGGGCTTTGGGAAAGGTAAGCCAAACAAAACTAACTGATCCTCATTCTAACCTGATTGAGAAAAACGTATGATGTCAAAGTATAAACATTTAGCCACCAATGCAATGTGACAGGAGTGTGGCATTTGAGAGAAAAGACAAAATGAGAAGAGGTCATAACTTTTGTACATTCAGATTAAAGCTGGGGTACCTCATTTTCAAAGCACGAACATTCTAACTATGTAATACAATTCATCCAACTAACTTGATTCTATTCTTAGTTTCACACGTATTGTTGGTTCTGTCACATCTTAAGATTTGTTTTTGCAGACATTAAGTGAAAAAGATGGCACCACTTGTACTCAGCCAGTAAACTCTCAACCCAAAGAGTTAAATAGTGACTCACTAGGCTCTTCCTTACAAGATGAAGACAGCATGTTGTGGTCTGATAGGTTCATAAAATTAAACTTATACAAGAATATGTTACAGTTGGGAAAACAAAATATATTATAAAGAGAGAGGCTTGTGTTTTGGCTTCAAACTTTTAGCCCTTTAACGGTTTGCTCAAACACCTTTTGAGTCACTACATCTTCTCAAAGCTTGAAACTGAAGTCTACCTCATTGGGGAATCTCTATCACTTGGCTTTAGGCACTTTTGTCAAGCTGCATCTCAAATGTATGTTTGTGACTTACTAGCACAAAAAAGTAGAAAACTATAGGCTCATTACAATAGGCTAGTAAAAATTATCAGCCAGTGAGCATAATTCAGGATCCAGGAATCAAGTATAGTAAGATTTGACTTTTTTCGTCACCAAATAAGGCTACAGTGGGTAGTTGTTGTTCTGATAAAAAACTTTGACAGTCATGTTGACGCCAACAATCTTTACTCTCCTCGTTATTGAATTATCATCCGCTTTAAGCAGAACAATAAAGGAATGAGCGGGAGGAGGTGGGGAAAGAGCTAGTAGTCCTTGCAGCTGGTGTGTCGGCCATGTTTGTAGTCCATGAAGATTGTGTCGACCATGTTTGTACTCCATGCAGATGTGTTCGTAGTCCTTGCAGAGTGTGTGTTGGTTGTGTTTGTAGTCCTTGCAGAGGGTGTGTTGCCCATGTTTGTAGTCCTTGTGTCTTGTGCGGCGCCCATGTTTGTAGTCCTACACACTCTGTGACCCCTCGTTCTCCTCGGTGATGGTGCGGTACAGCTGTGGCTGGTTCTGTGCCAGGGCAGAGTCGGATTTGGCAAAAAGCGCAGGTCGGCTCTTTCGCTTGAGAAGCACCCACTTGGAGGTGACCAGCTCCCCGTAGCCCTGACTGTGGGAGAAAGCGTATCCAGAGCGACGAGTGCTGATACGGCGTGGAGGAGGCCGGCGAGGAGCAGGGGCCGGGAGAGCTTCTTTTCTCACTTTGTACCTCACCTATACAAACAGGAAATGTACAGAGCTGAAGAGAAGACACTATTTTACACAAAACTTTTCCTGTCTCTTATTTTTCTCATTTGAAAGATTTACAAAATTATTTAATTTCATTCACAAGCTTCCATACAGTTTGATCTTTAACTTAGAAGTGTTCTCAAAATGGTTTTTCCCCCACAAGGACATATTTACAATATTGTAGTCAACAACAAAATATTCATCTAATTCTAAGTCTGAATGAAATGGAATCTTTGAAGTGAAATGTGAAAACAGATGTCAGTGGAGTGAATTTTTTTGAAACAGCAACTTTAAACCAGGCTCTATAAAACAAACTGTGTACGTTTGTGTGTTGTTTTTTTCTTGTGAAATGTATGAGGGGTATGAAAGCAGGGTTGAAATAAGTCAATAATAAACTATATATATATATATTTTTTTTTTTTCAAAAATGTCATATTTTAACCCTTCCGACCACAATGGAGCCCATGTGTCTAGGGCACTTTCTGTAGAACGTCTTCCTACAAATGTTTCTCTGATTTTTTTTTATAGTGACGGTGATGCTTTGATTATTTGTTAAGTTCTTTATCTTTGATTATATAATTGGGTCCTTATTTAGCAGTCCAGGTGCTAAACTGTGACAGTACAGTTTTTAGCGCGCATAAAAACGTTAAAATTAATTAAATGTGTACATATTTTTGCACCTTATCGTTGATGGTCGGCCACAGCTGCAGTAAAGTGAAGCGCACAGCCACCACAGGCAGGATGCAGAGCAGAGCGGTCAGCAGCACCGTCAGCCACACGTTGGGCTGGTTCAAGGAGTTTCGGGCAGTTCCTGGAAAATACAACAATACACCGCATTATTACTCCTAATGAGTCATATCAGGGCACATTTTGGCAGTGTGAAGAAGTATTTTTTTAAGCGGTAGACGATAACTCACCTATAAAAGGGAAAGCTGAGGTGAAAATGAGGAACATCCCGTTGCTGTACATAGTGAAGCTAATGGCAAAGTACGCCGCCAGACTTCCCCAAACAAAGAACTGATTCGCGGCCGTCCAGTAGTGAGTATCCAGACACAGCTGTACAGAGGACAAGCCATAGACATGAACATGACATATACATAGAAAAATAGAAATATAGATTAAAATGATGGAGACAAGAAAAACAGATTCTGTAAATCTAAAACAGGTTATATCCATAAGTATCTTGGCCCAGGATACAATTAAATATGTTGATTTTTAGGAAATAAAGTTACAGAACTATTAAAGAATTGCTTAATAGGTATACACTTTTTAAAACCTAATAATCCTATTAGTCTCTCCTCTATGACCAGTAAGATTTTCTGGAGGAGAAAAGTTTAACCAATGACGAGGATCTTTAAGAATTTGAATACAATTTTACCATTCAGGAGGCTGCAAGAGAAAGCATGGGTGGCTCTGACCAGTGCTTGTCTTCAAAAAGTGTCTCTCTCTTTTCACAATTTGTTAATTTTACTTTAATACATATTTGATGCATATTTATACATATTAAATACATATGTTTTATACATAACATAATCAACTTCAGGCATCTATGAACTTGAAGGAGGATTTCGATCATTGAAATACATTTATTCTTGTCGAGCGTTGCGCTCACAAAACGCCAGACGTCTGGTGGTCCCTAAGGTCTCAAAAATCACTGTTGGCGGCAGAGCATTTAGCTCCAAGCTCCTTTACTGTGGAATCAGCTTCTCATTTATGTTAAGGAAGCAGATACGGTCTCCACATTCAAGGCCAGGCTTAAAGCACTCTACTTTAATTTAGCATATAATTAGGTAATATATAATATATGGTGTATATATTATATATATATGCTGTATTATGTTATATATTATACAATATATGTATTATGTTGTGTTGTATATTATGTTATATATTATGCTGTATGTTATGTTGTGTATTATATATACTATATATAATATTTAAAGTATATATAATATATAATTAGGTTTGTTTGGATCGGTTTGCACGCCTGGTGTGCAATCCATGAATCTTGGTGCTGTAACCTAGACTAGCCTAGCCTAGCCTAGCCGTGGCTGCTGCTGTCTCGCCTCCTTTCAGGTACGCTCTCTTTATTCAAGGCTAGGTTTAAAACAGTCCTCTTTAGTTTAGCATATGGCCAGGAAGGTAAGACTCAGGGAAGGCTAAACTCCTCAGACTGTCAGTCAAGCTGCATAGGGAGTCAGTTTGCTGGGAGAAGTATGGTAACTTGAGCACTATCTTCTCCTCCTTCCTAATTTATCTGTTTAGCATTTTTAGGATTTTGACTGTAGTTTGTTCATTGCTATTCACCCGTTGTCCCACTGTCTGTTTCATGGTACGATGACGGGATCTCTGAGCCTGGCCTCTTCCATCTACACCTGCGGACTGCCCCGCCCGACCCGCCTGGGAGTGCTTCGGTCCTGCACCGGGCCTGTCCACGTTCAGCGGCCACTGGTCCACGTTCTGTAGCTAGCTTAGGTCCTAGATCATTAGCCTGTCCGTCCGGAGGAGCGGATCCCTTTCTCAAATGGGTCTCCCTCCCTGTGGGTTTCCCTAGTTCTCCTCAAGGTTTCTCACTTTTTCCCACTGGGTTTTTTAAGAGTTTTTCCTTGTCGATGCAGGAGGGTCTTGTTGGACAGTTAGTGTCCAACAGAAAGGATTGGTGATGATCAGGACACTTTAGCATTCTACAACATGTATGGACATTTTCTTCTGTGTGTGCTTTATATTCTTCATGTGTTTTAACTGTTGATTCTCTGACCTGTGTTGGTGATTTCAATGGTTTTGTTAAGTCTCTGAGATGACCCCTGTTGTGACCTAGGGCTATACAAGAATACATTGTATTGTATTGTATATTCTATCATGTTAGACAAGGAACATTTGAGAACATCTAATTTCTTACTGTTCTTTGGCCAATAATCACAAATATCTGTGTGTTGGGTTTATTCTCACAATAATCGTACCACTAACATTTGAAAATAAGTGTTATGAACAGGCATTTGAATCATTTTACAACAATTTGTTAAGGCTCCAGATTATTTTCGGATAACAGAATGACACGTCTGGGGAAACATTTGTGGGAGGCCAGGTCACTGAGCTAGACCGTCGACAGAGTTTAAAGGGCTATCTTAAAGGCGCTATACCCATTTCTGCAATGTTTGAATGTTTAGCGCCGCCCCCAACTCGCTCACAGGCTTCTCATTACGCTCTCATCCCACAGAGCCACCTAGTTTTATTTGCGATCTGACATTTATGCTAACATTAGCATTAGTGCAACTTCTTGTAAGCTGTACAACAATCACTGATGAAATGGCACTAAAGCAACACACTGCTAACACAATATATAGGTAAAAGAATACTGCTAGTTTCGCGTCCGAATGTATTAATTTAAACATTATAATATATTCTAATATTTAACTAAAATTTACTATACAGCTCCTCACAGCAGCAGTAGAACACTCTATCAATTTGAATGCAATTCTTCAGATAATTTTTTCTTGATAACAGAACTCTCAAACCAATATCGACCGCGGCCCCAATGCAATCTCTGTTTGTAATTCAGGTACAACAAGCTATCAGCGCCTGTCTCTACACTGTGCAGTTTCTCTGCACACTTGTCTGTGTAGAGAAGCTAGCGGAGCTAGCCACGCTCAATAAACAATACATTTATTTATTTTCTAATGAATAGAAGCCTCTCCAGAGGCTCCCGTACCCTCTGGAGAGACCTGCGGGAGCCTCGGACTAACCTATCTATGCTCGGAGTCGCACCACATTTGGACGCAAAACTAGTGGTATTCTTTCAGTTATATATTTTGTTAGCAGTGCGTTGCTTTTGTACCATTTCATCAGTGATTGTTGTACAGCTTAAGAGAAGTTGCGCTAATGCTAATGCTTGCATACGTATCAGATCGCTAGAACTAGATGGCTCCATGGGATGAGAATGTAGGGGAAATGAGAAGCATGTGAGCGAGTTGGGGGGCGGTGCTAAACATTCAAACTGAAAAAAACCGTTTCAGAAACGGGTATAGCTCCTTTAAGAATCTAATAATTTTTGTTCCATCACTGATATAAAATAAATAAAATTGGTACCTGAAGGCTGACCACCACCTGGAGGCAAGTCTGAGCCAGCAGAGCAAAGGACTGATAGTCAGAGATGTCTTTCCCGTCGTCTCGAACCGTGTCCACCATGGCCGCCCACGGAACAAAGAAGAGAACCAGCGAACTGTAGCAGCTGTGCATCATGCAGTGCACAAAGATCTTTTTACTGAAGTATTGGTTGAGTTGTCCCGGGACATAGAGCTGAGGGTATTGGAAACTCCAGCGGTCATTCACGTCCTTCAAACAAAAAAAAACAAAACATTATAGTGCCTCTGCTGTCTTTTGTACATACAAATATTTCTGCTTTGTCCATACTTGGTCAAAAAGGCTCAGGCCGAGGATAGGCAGGGCAGTGTACACCAAGTTGTAACAAGTGATAAACCACTCGTCATACACGGTCTGAAATATAAAGATGACAGTAGTAGTTATATACAGGCAATAGGAATAAAACATACTCATTTGGTGGCCATGAACCACACACTGTAAGAACTGTAGAAGATTATTAATCATATTTTTTTCTCAAAAAGAAGGATTATGTTGTTGATGCTCTGTACAGCTCATAATATAAATGTAATCTTCCACTGAAAACATAGATATTAATGATTATTTATTGACGGTCCCCTCGCTGCAAGCAACAAATTCAACCTGATCTAAAGATGTGACAATAATACATGTGCAAACTAGTGATAGAACCAAGCTTGTGAAGCAGTTTGCCTAAGGACTAGGGCCTGGATTAATTGTTGTTATAATAAACAAATACAGTACATATGTACACTATGTTGTCATTTATCTTTCCATTCAAACAACCATTTACAGAAAAAAATGGTATCATTTTGCCGATAGTTCGAAATGCGATTAATTACGATTCATTCATTTCTAAGCTGTAATAAACTAGATAAAAAATGTTAATCGTTTGACAGCCCTTATAAGGACACAACGGCAGTTCAGCACTTTACAGCCGCAGCCGCCCCACTGCACCTGATGTTCCTGGAGGTCTTGCATCACAGTAATAATCAGGCCCTGCGCAGCAAAGCTTTGGACCAGTAACTCCTTTGTCTCTTACATTTTTGTAGTTAAAAGTGTTTGATTATTTAAAAAAATGACAATTTGGTTAAGCCCTCTGACATGACATTTAATGGAAATGAATTGAATTACCCGGCACATCTGTTGCTCTGTACAAATGTTTTATTGGGGGCTTACGTTGAATGCGTCTCACCTGAGCAGAGAAGCCGCAGAAGAAGGCGTACCAGAAGTGCACAAAGGTGAAGGTGAAGTTTTTGTAGAAGAAATACTGAAGAAACTTGCACATGCGCAGATAGGACCAGCGGCCGTGCACCAGCAGGAGGCGCTGAAGGTATCGGAACTGAGCGAAAGAGAAGTCGCTAGAGAGAACGGCCTGCATGCCCTCCTGCCCGCTGATGCCCACGCCGATGTGAGCGGCTGCGGATACAGGGTACAGATTAACAGGAGGCAGTGGTTTTTTAAAGCTGGGGTACTTTACTTTCAAACCACTTAAAACAGAACCATGTAATCAAATCCATCTTGCATATGTGCTGTACAAAATAAAAATTCCATTGACATAAATACATATGTGCAAAGTGATGGAATGTATATTTAATTGGGCATCAGTCCCCTGGGAATCTAAAAACTGAGAATCTATTTGAAACATTTAAAATAAAACAACACTGAAGACACTATTATTATTATTATTATTAGCATTTAAAAATTATCAAAAACATTATTCATAAAAAAATCATAGCCTGTCCAAGCTCAACACTTTTTTCACATTCCTCATAGTTTTTCACAAAGACCATTATTATATGAAGGTTTAAATGCAGGTTATATGAATTACTCAAACATGTCTAAAAGAGTTGTGAAGGTAAAGATATAATAATGAGGTTAAATCATATATGTCCTCTTCCCTTGCGAGAGCACCACATGCACACACCCTTTATCATGCTGACGTCGTTGGCCCCGTCTCCGATGGCCAGCGTCACCGCCTGCTTGTACTTCTTGACGAGTTGCACGACTTGAGCCTTTTGCAGAGGAGTGACTCTGCAGCAGATCACGGTCTGACACATGCAGGCCGTGCGCAGCAGCTCCAGGCGAAGGTCCTTCTCCAACGCAAAGGCCTGGGACACGCACAGGAACTTTAACTCAGAGACTGTATATAAAAGTGGACAGTGCCAACCTGATAGCTCTAGGAAGCCCAATATGGGAATTTTCATGGGCAATGTTTTGCTCCTACTGGCTTTGGCTCCATTCAATTAAATAGTTAGTACCATATGAACCAACTCAGACTCTGAGGAGCACAGGAACTGGCCTCCTGCTGGTGCCCAGAGTCTGTACTAAACATGGGGAGGCAGCTTTTTCCTAAAGATACTGGTAAGCGAGGCCAACATCTCTGTCAATGTTTTAAGTCCATCCTGAAAACGTTCAATTTTGTTGTTTGATGAATTAATATCAATGTTTGGCATAGTTGTTAATCTAAGAGTGTTGTGCCTCATTTGTTTTATAATATTTGTAAATATGTATGATTTTATGTCTTTGCAACAGGAGGGGTATGGGGGTAATCACCACTGACCACACTGACTGACCAATTGAGTGTGACATCACATCATCTCTCTGTCAGCTGACCCTCTCTCTCTCCACCATGCATCCTTATTTTCTGTTGCCTCTGTATGTATCTTGTGACTGTGTAGTGTCATCAAATGTCCTCTTTTATATCCATTTGATGTTTTAACTAATATATTAAGTAACAACTAGATTTTTGATATAACATGAGACAGGCTGATATTTATTTGTGGTTACTATGGTACAGAAAAGTAGTATTTCTCACCAAACTGTGACCGTTTATGATGAGGCCAAACTCTCCATCCACCTTTTCATCGGGGACGTTCTGTGACGTCTTCAGCCAGAGGAGTCCAGCACGATGTTTATGCATCACCGGCTCATCCGGGGCATCAGGGCACATTTTTCTCCTTGCGTTTCTGAACATAGTTGTTGAAGTTAAGGAGAAAGAGTCATTGAGGTTCACTTTTGGAGAATAGAAGATTAAAAACAAGCAGGAAAACTCACTCCAGCTGTTGTCTGACTCCCTCCGGTGTGTTCGCTGATACGATGAAGATGTCCCTCATCTCCTCTCTCAGCATGTTGCAGGAGTAACCGATGTTCTCAGCCGTCTCTGGGAAATAAAAGAGAAGCACAAAAAGCACAAGAAATGTAACAATGTAATCAAGTCCATCTCACTCCTCGCTCTTAACACTAGAACTCGCAGAGCAGTTCATTTGACTGCAGTTTTGGAAGTGTACATACTCAGCGTATGTATCAAAGCAAGATAAGATAAACTTTATTGACATCACAATAGAGAAATATACATGTCACATTTGGTATAAAAAGGATCACTCAGGTGTGCAAAAAGACAGGAAAAGTGAAAACATGTTAAAAAGTGAAAAGATAGTCATTATTGGTCTTCGTAACTTTGTGACTTTTTTTTTTTCTCTATATGCAGTTTATTATTTTTGTAACAAGAGTAGTTCTACCTTTTAAGCAAAATTTTCTGTTGTTGGGTAAAGCCCCTTTTTCAATGTGCTGGTCCTGGACTGGTCCTGGTTTTGATGCTAGTTACCATAGCAACACACTGTTTACTGTTTAGCCTGAATAAATGAGGAACACTAAACATTTTTGGGATGATTTCTCAGAATGACTTTGGTGTGAATGGGAGTATCCTAGTGCTGCTAAACAGTGTTGGCCTCTATCCTAGGTTTAGATTTTTCAGACAGAAAAGTGAAAAAGAAGTCCACCCTCACTGAACTAAAATCAGGATCATATTCAAAGCGACTCACCCTGCTTATCTCCAGTCAAAACCCAGATCTTGATGTCGGCCTTCGCCAGCTGCTCGATCGTTTGAGGGACCCCATCCTGCAGCTTGTCCTCCACCGCAGAAGAGCCCAGCAGCTACACAAGAAATATATATTTATCATTTTTCACAAAATCCATCAGTACATTTTTTTGGGTCTTTAGTCAACACACAGGAACAATTTCATGTCCAAAAATGTATTATTGTTATTTATATTTTTGCAATCCACACTGGCTGTACCTGTACAACACATGTACAGTGGAAAATATGTAGACTGATCTTTTAAATTAACTTAAGAATAAGAGTATGTAAGAAATCAAAAAATGATTAATGACAAGAGTATTTCTATAGTGTTTAGTTTACATTTGAAACATGATTTCAACTTTAAAAATACATTTAAAAATATATGTAGCTAAATATACTGTTTATCATATCAATACCAAAGGGCTTAAAATGTGATACACTAAGGTGTGCTTGACAATTTCAATATTTTTTGATGTGGTGTAAATGACCTAATCCTATATTGAACACGGAAAGTATTACTTTTGTTCAAACAATAACTTCAATTCAATTCAATTCAATTCAATTCAAAGTATGGTGGACTGACTCCAGGAAGAATAGCTGTGCTTGTTACAGCTAATGGAGATCAAATAAGTACAAATACAAATGTATTCTTGTATAGCCCTAAATCCCAACAGTAGTTATCTCGGAGGACTTTACACAACCGCCCACAGAGATCTGAGAATCAAACAAACAAGAAATACAATTATAGAAAACACATTGGTATTGGTCCATAAGGGGCAGATGACCAATGTCCATAAATGCTGTTAAGGATTCTGAAACATGTTGTTTGTCCCAAAGTTTGGTAAAAAGAACCAGACCAAAACATGCTGTCCTTGTCTCATTAACAAATGTATCGTTTGCTTGTAAGAGGTCATTATTTTACTCTTTAGGCTGAGAGCTGAGTGAGAATGGTCGTCTTTTTTAACTTTTCTGTCTAAAAAAAGCTGTGACAGAGGCCAAAAATACATGCATGCAAAAAGAAGTGATAGAACCATACTGTTTCGAAAGCGAGGAACCAGCAAGATGGAGTTCATTAGATTTTATGACATAGTTCAATCTTTTGTGGTTTAGAACTCAGGTACGACAGCTTGAAGGAGGATAATTTGTACCATAAGTCCATAAGTAACAAAACATACCAGTAGATCCTTCTCGATCTCCTCATAAAGTTGGTCGAGTAACTCCTCCCTGTCCTCCATAGAAACGCTGGCTTCATGGTGTCTGTGTTTCCAGTCCTCCATGAAATCTTCATCCAGATCCTTGTAGGCCAGAACCAGGGTCCGCAGCCCGTCTCCCGCATACTCCTGCAAGAACAAATACATTATGATTATTATGTCCAATGTTCATAGTCCTGTGTGGCACAAGACAAAAATATGGACGACATATTGATCCAGTAAATTATTGCAATGATAATATTGAAGCTACTCTATGCTACTGATGCTACTACACAAATGCAGCATATTCCCAGAAAAGCATGTATTTAATTCTTTTTTTATGCATTTCATGAAAATATCGTCCAATGAAAATGAACAGCAAATTGAAGTTATTCAGTCATATTGAACCATTTACTGCAGGGGTGTCAAGATTCAGATTAATTTTATTGACATTTGCAGTAAAACCACATTGGGAACACACGTGCAAAAACACCTGTGTGTGCACCAGACAAAAATATATGATAATATAAGCTTTAGAAATAATTGTTACTGTGAAATCAATCAACAAAACCGTTTCAATAAATAACAAGTGGTTCCTGCTTGTCCTTTGAGGAGGGTTTGACACTCATGAGCTACAACTAAAGCCTCAAAGTAGAGAGATTGTTGCTATTTTATAATTAATTGTCTTAAATAGAAAATAGCAAAAATCTTCTTTTGCAAATAAAATTCAACCTTGCCTGCAAGCTGAATTCTTGCGGTATTTGTGAGTTCACAAACACTCGAGAATCCATCTTGCCCCGCTCCCGCCAACCCTTTTCGAGTAGAACATCTAGGTGTTCAAGCCAATCACGCGCCAGTCTGGGGGTTTAGGGCGGGATATCCGGGTTTGACGAAAGCAAGAAGTGCCGGGCCGAAGCAAAACAAACATGGCTACGCAGGAGGACGGACGCGTAGCTGAGGCTATCAAGTCAGTTTTAGCAGAATCTCCAATTTATTTTTTGAAAGATGAACAGCGAGAGGCGCTTTGTGCATTTCTGGACGGCAAAGATGTTACCGGGATTGGCACGGTGGCAGAGTGGATAGCACTCTCGCCTCTCAGCAAGAAGGTCCTGGGTTCGAATCCCGGTCGGACCAGGGCCTTTCTGAGTGGAGTTTGCATGTTATCCCCGTGTCTGCGTAGGTTTCCTCCGGGTACTCCGGTTTCCCCTACCACTAAAAATATGTACAATAGTTCTGGCATGCGCCTCCTGTTCGGCGACCCTGCTCCCATCTCTGTGTGGAGTGAGAAGACAAATGCCCAAAAAAAATAATAATAACAATTGTAAACCGCTTTGTGACCATTGTCTGTGAAAGGCGGTATATAAATAAACATTACTTACTTACTTACTAAGTCAAACCTTGGTAGGCGGGCACACAGCGTCACTTCGCCCAATCAGATTAAAGTATTCTGCTGCTTATCCCTCCTTTCCCCGAAAGGATTCTCCTGCAGAAGTCCCAGATTGATATTGTGGAGAACGCATTAGAGTTCTACACAATCATCAATCTGGCTCTTGCCAGGTTAAATAAAATTTACACAAGGTTGAAATATTGCTTTATTCACCACTTGTTGGACAATATAGTAATTACCGTGACCAACCTAATCACAATAAATGCATATTTGGTCAAAATTGTTAGGATTGATTCTAAATGTCTTGGCCCCGGGTGTTGGCTGGTTTTTAGGTCAGGGGTATATCCTGTGTGATCTCTAAGCCCCGGTGTCCAACATAAGTCTGTCCATTCAAATCAACGGTCTGAGCTCGCATCATGGAGGTCAAGTTAATTTGTGGATAAAGAGTGGACCACCAAACTAAACTCTATATGGATTTTTACGTAGTATATTTCACGTGGTATATATGAAAGTTATGTACCCCAGATTTAAAGTGGGGCAAGAATGAATAAACTATGGTTATATCTAATTAGAATTGAATCTCATCCCACTGCTAAAACATTAGATTGTACTTTTTTTCCTCACGTTTAGATGCTGTGTCGTCACTTCCATTAGTTTTTTACACGAAGGATGGAGCCTTTCATAGATGATGGTGTCAGCGCCTTTGCAGAACAGAGTCGTCTTTCCTTCTGGGTTACGAACTAAAAGCAATAACAACACAGAGAAAAGATCATATTTAAACTTACAAAGAGGTGAGAGATATATAATGTAAAATGAGCACGTAAATGTACTAAAACAAAGAACTGGAAATGGTAATGCGACAAAAAATGTTGGAATTAAAACGCTTATGGCAAATGTATTACTTTTAATTAGGTTAATAACTTGTACTTCTGATAATGCAATAAACTAAAACTTGTCTTATCTATTCAAGTGATTATTATTTGACAGATGAAAAGATGAATAATGAGATTAATCCTCACAGTCTCATAAAAATGTAGTGTATACATCAAGGTGTCATGGTGCAGGAAGTAAAATTCACCTTACAAAAGGTTTTTTTTATTACAAAAGAGTGAACACTTTTTTGTCGAGTGAGTAATGACCACAAGATCTAGATTAATGCAACATGTGTTTTCCAGATATAGTCTATGAATAAGATCCACCACATTTAGTTTAGTTTATTATAGAACAGGACAATGTACAGAACCGTTAGTCAATACAAAAGAAGAGAGGATTTGCAGCAGATTTAGCTGCAGCTACACTGGTGAATATGTTTTGTTGTATTTTACTTGTTTTAATTGTGCTCTTGAATGAATCTTTCAAAACTTCTATGGGGTAATTTTACTTCCTGAAGCCCTAAGCTCCGCCCCCTCAGCAGCTCCATACAAACCTATGACAGACATCCTTTTGCGGACGTTGTTGAAGTCCAGAACAGCGATGAGCTCATAGGTCACGTGGTGTCCCATCTCCACCACAGTGATGCTGTCTGGAGTCCGGGACAGAAACACAAAGCCAAAGTTTCTGGCTGCTGTCACAAGAGCGCCCTCATCTGGTGACTGGGCCTGGTAGTACAGCTCCCCTGGACAGAGAGAGAAATATTTTTTTTTATAACTTTTTTTGTGCCGTATCACATAAACCAGATGTTATGTTTGACATTTTGCATTTAATCTTATTGTTGATGTATGCAAATTTGTCTGCAGCATTTGACCCCGTATCAGGAGTAGTAGTCGCTGGTGTAGAATACTTGACTTCTACTAGAATACCTGATAATGTTGTTTTTTCAACAACATCACAAAACTGATTTGTTAAGTAAGTAAGTAAGTAAGTAAGTTTTTTATTTATATACCGCCTTTTCACTGCAGATCTGAGTCTCAAAGCGGTTTACAATTGTTAATTTTGGGCATTTGTCTCTCACTCCACACAGAGATGGGAGCGGGGCCAGTACAGGAGGCACATGCCAGAACTATTGGACATATTTTTAGTGGTAGGGGAAACCGGAGTACCCGGAGGAAACCTACGCAGACACGGGGAGAACATGCAAACTCCACTCAGAAAGGCCCTGGTCCGACCGGGATTCGAACCCAGGACCTTCTTGCTGAGAGGCGAGAGTGCTATCCACTCAGCCACCGTGCCGCCATGAGCTAGATCTAAAATAGAGTGTTTTTGCTGTTATCCACCTGAGTTCTTCTCCTCGGGCATGACGGTGTGGCACACGGCCAGCAGCCTGAAAAAAGCCTGGGCCTCTGGGTTTCCCTCCATCACAGTCTCCACCAAACTGTGGTCGTGGAAGATGAACTTTGGATCAGCCAACTTGTTCCACGAGAAATCCACTCTCGGGGTTTTCTACAAGTCACATGTTCACAAGAATCAGTACAGTAGTTACAGTATCTGTATATGTTTTCCTTGTCTGGTCTTTTACATCAAGCTACACTATATTTTCTGCTTCTTGCCTTGGTTAAGCAATAGTATATTTTAATTTAAAGAAACTTACCTCTGTGATTTCAACTCTTTGCCCAGAAAAGTCAAAAAGTTCTCCTGCAAAAAACAGACACTTTTAACTTTAAATGAAATGTTAGGATTAGTGTAAAAAATGTAATGAAAAACTATCTTCCTGTCGTATTAATGAAGTTTGAATGCAGTCTCTAAACCTGATCAATTGGAGAGCTACTTTTATGAAAAATAAATGGCAGAGAGCTACTTCTTTATACAATTGTAGTCTAAATAATAAATACACACATGTATAATATACCATTATACCGTACAGCTCCTCCAGCTAAAAATACGTTTGTGTCAAACTCCACATTTTGAGCTGGTGAAGGATTGACCCTTCACCAGCTGCCTTCATTCGCAGAGGAATCTCAATCTTGCCTTTGTAACCATCTCAGCAACACATCTGCCCCTGTTTACGGTGCGAAGTCAACCCCGTCAGAATGCATGCCGTTATAAAGAAATTGGCTGCTAGCTATGTTTAAATTGGCCTCTTCCACATTTGGCAAACACTATGGGTGACGTCAGCAGACTCAAGATGTAGTCCATCACATCATCTCAAGAATTATTTTGTTATAATTGTTGAATAGACCTGAATATGTAGTTTGACTTATATGTAGTTTAATCTTTGACTTCATGGACTTATCGACAGCTGACAGTGGTTTTCTTTACCGTAGTTTCTGCCGTTGATGGAGCATTTGTTGAAGGTCATGATGTTCTGAGTGAGCGTTCCCGTCTTGTCACTGAAGATGTACTTGATTTGCCCCAGCTCCTCGTTCAGGGTGGTGGTCCGGGCCTGGGCTGGGGTGTCACTCTTAGCATAGTACATTTTTCTGTCCCAGTCAATGAAGAAGCTGTTCCCCAGACGGATGATCTCCACACTGATGCAGGCAAGAAATGAAAGAATCAAAAACAAAAAGTAGTGTTTTAGCTTAAATAACAAAAATTTAGCACTTAAAGCAGGGGGTGTCAAACCGGTCCACAGAGGAAAGAGCAGGAGCACACAGACTCCACCCATTTCTTAACGTGAGTCCAGTCTTTCCCTGAAAACTTGAGGAAATGGGTGAGACTGAAAACATAGCTCCCTGGAAAATTTTATTTGAGCCCCAGTGTTGTATTGGATTGTTTCATTTGACTTTGAAGTATTTCTTTTAGATTTTTTTGTCTTGGTTTTATTTTTGATATTTATTGGTCGTCTTGTAGTTTTGCTTCCCATCTGTCCTGTTTTGTGTTTGCATTTCCCCACTTGTTGTCCGTCCATTGGGCTTCATTTATGAAACTTTGGTTAAAAGACAACATTGGGATTGGAGGGCTTCGTAATTACTATTGACCTGGAGGTTCTAGGTGTAATAAATAAAACAAACAGTAATATGAGGTGTTCACAAGCACATGTCTGCAAATATGCAAAGATGGTCTTGAGCAGAGGTCTTGGGCATAGATCTATAATCTATAAATATTCAGTTCAATTTAATTTACGTTCCTATAGCCCTAAACCACAACTGATTTAGGGCTTTACAAAGTTGTTGATTTGCCATCAACAGATCAGAGAATTAAACACAGGAAAAGTATAAAAAACAAACACATTGGTCATTGGTCCACAGGGTTGACCATAAATGTTAATTAATGTGTCACTTGAATTTGTGCTCTATGTAGCAGTTTATGTTTTTGCTGTAAAGTTAAATGATAAAACATCTGAATATTCGGCAGCAATGACTGATTATTTTGATAATCAATTATTCTATCTATAATTCTTTCAGTTCTTTAGAAATCAGCTCTGATATTTTCTGTTCATTTCTGTCAAAACTGAATTATGAAATATTGTTATTGGTAGGAGGAGAGATGCTGCAACAACTGAAGGTCTGTGTCTTCACTTTTGTAATGGATGAAGAGGCGTCAGATTGGATCCAGACAGAGGCTGTAGCTCCAAGTCTTCATTCTAACTCTTCCAGGATCACACCAGGCTGCATTTACATCAAGGCTTAACCAGCGATTGATGACATGAATGGGGTGTGGTGTGTTCCTTGTTTGGAGTGAAGATTTGCAGCCACACGGCTCTGAAGGAGCTGGTCTGAGGCCCTGAGTCTGCTCTGGGTGAGACAAGCTTTGACCTGAAGAAGACGCATCTGAAATGGATCCAAAAACACCTTTTCTGTTGACACCTCTGCAGGTCTTCTTAAAACATTGTTGCATTGCGTGTCATAGCAATGACAAGCGATGCTTTTCATTAGGAACGCAATACTGAGCACTCATCTACAGTGATGCATCAGAAAGCTCCACCTTTAATTAGAACAGCAAAAAACCTCCGCACAACAAAGTAACTGTGCATTAAGTGGCTGTCTTTGCACTCTTAAGGCCCACTCGCTGTAAATGTGTGTGGTGCCACACACATAAACAGCACTAAAAACCAACATTAAGGTACAAATCTTCTCGACTTTGGCCCTTGTGGCAGGTTTCGTCCTACAGAAAACATCTGCAACATGTTCTTTGTAGGACGATAGATGAGAAGTACTCTGCCCTATTGGATCTAATGAAGTTTTACTTCATATCCATGTTACTTCCTTGGTGGTTCACAGGGTTTTTCGCCAGACGTATAGTCCTTTGATTGTTCTCAATCACTTTTGTGGTTGGCTCAAAGTTGGGAACCATGTCGTCGTAGAGCTTCTACAGAACATGTTTGGGTTCACCACACGTGTTTGCTGAGTTTCACCATTTATTCCAGGAGCTGCGTAAGGATGAGTTTCGCTTTCAGCGATACTTCCGCATGTCACTTGCACATTTTGACTCCCTGCTCACCCGCCTGGAGCTTGCATCGCCCGCCTGCAGCTTGCATCGCCCGCCTGGAGCTTGCATCGCCCGCCTGGAGCTTGCATCACCCGCCAGCACACCAACTACAGGCGCTTGATTCCCATGGAAGAGCGCCTGTCTATCTGTCTGCTGTCCAGCAGTCTACTGTGTCTGAGCTAGACTCAGCTTGTGCTTATATTAAATAAATGACTTTTACTTCACAGCATGTGTATATGGATTTTGTTACTTACTTATTAGGCCCGAGCCCCAACCGGGGTAAGGGCCTATTGCTTTTCCAACGAGTAATAACTGTCATAAGTTGTACTCGTTGTAACTCGTTGTAACTGTCATAAGTCACAATGTGACCTGCACGCAACGGCACATGCCCAAGCACTGATAAATCCGTGCCAGAGGCACGGAATGGCTTTGCTCCTGCTGTAGTACATAGTGTAATGAATGGGGTCCTATGGAGGGGGTGGGTGACCTCATGATGGCGAGGTGATTGACGAGCGCGTCAGCGCTCGTCAATCACCGAGAACCCAATAGTTGCGTTCGCCTCGTTGTTCGCTTTACAACGACGTATCATTTGTATTATAGGTTACTATGGAAACCTATATTGTTTTTGCTCGAAGTTTCCAAAAAAAATTCCTTGGTTTGGTTTGGTTTATTTCTTTCTTTTTTCTTCTGCGCTTTGAACCTTAGTTTGACCCCCTGAACATTGATGAAAAGTTGTGAAATTTTGCCCAAAATTCAGACCCGGCGAAAAATTAATTTTTTTGGATTTTATTTTTATGGGACTAAAAAAATGCCCGAACAGCGCCCCCTACAAAAGTCAGTTTACATTGCGCCTATGGGAGGGGGTCGGAGGTAAAGTTTATTGTAGAGCCACGAAATTCGGTACACATGTTCCTCAGGTCAAGACATGAAAAAAAAAGTTATTATGGCTCCGCCCCCTGACAAACAGGGAGCTCATTCATTTAAATGGAAAATGGAAAAATGAAAATTGATCTTTTTCACACATGTCGGCTGGAAATTATCTCCTCCTCGGCCGTTTCACCGATTTGTCTCAAAATTGCTCCACATGGTCTAAACCCATGTCCCATCTATTATTGAATATAGAATTTGGATCAGTTAAATGTTGTCCGAGCAGCGGAGCGGCAAAATGTGACATTTTTTTCCCAATTTTTGACAAAAGTAAATTTGCTCCCGTTTGCACAAACCAAACCGGATTTGCACCAAATTTGTATCCATTGTTCAGCTCCAGGGTGTAGGTCATTTGAAAGTTGAAATATTGAAATTGGCTCATTAGCGCCCCCTACAGACCATGTTAAAGTTTTACATGGGCTTTTTAAAATTTAGTTTTGTCAAAATCTTTGAAATTTTGCACATAATTCTGTTTTGTCATCTGGCTTCAAAAAGTCAATGACAACATATGATTATTTTTTACCCTGTTGCCGTGGCGACGACCAACACTCCCCTGTTTGTGTTTATGGGAAAATCATTTTATCTCTGAAAAGTACACCTCGCTCAAACATCAAACCAGCCGCGGCCGTTTCCCTAATTTGGCTGAAAATCGCTCCACATCGTCTCAACACATGGACCATCAATAGTTGAATATAGAATTTAAATCAGTCAAACGGTCTGCGCATGACAGACTCCCAAAGTGTGGTTATTTTCATAGAGAGGTGTGAAGTTCCCATGTTATCCAATGGAGACTCACAGATTGTGTGTGTAAACAGGAGCACATTTACAAACTCTGATTTGCACTAAACTTGACTCGGTTGTTCAACTCCTGGGCCTAGGTCACATGACAGTGTGAACAATGACATTGGCCCATTATTGCCCCCTACAGGCTGAGTAAAGGGGTTGCAGGACGTAAACAGAGCTCCCGTGGCTTCTACTTAACTTTTTAAGTTTTTGCGTCTTTTTACTACCTTTCCTGAAGAAGATCAACGATCAAAGAGAAAACTATCAAGTTCGACATTAGTGAAGAGGATTATTGCTCCCAGCAAGGTGTTTGTTTTTGTTTTGTTTTTTTTTCCGCGGACCCACGGAGGCTAAGCTCGCCGCTCGCCAACAGTGGATCCGCGAGGGAGAACCCAAAACACAGACTGACGCCGGAGGGACAAGAGATCTCATTACTAATCCAGCACCATGACTGCCAAAGAGGTAAAGAAGGACATTGAAGAACTAAAAGCCTCAATGAACATGATGGGTGAGCAATTGAACATTATTGCTGAACAACAAGGGAGCAAACAAGTGAAGGAAATTCACGAGCTAAAAAAGCTCAGCCAGGAGCAACAAAACAAAATCAACTTTCTGGAGTCACGAGTGGCAGACTTGGAACAATATACGCGAATGAACGATGTAATTATTACTGGTCTGCCTCTCAAACCACCATCATATGCTCACGCGCTGAAGGGGGCGCAGAAAGAAGAAAACGAGGAGCAAAATGCTTCAATAGAAGCCCAGGTGACTAGATATCTTCAGAATAAGGACATTTATGTAAATAGAGATGGTATTGAAGCATGTCACACTCTGCGGTCTCAAAATCCTAACGTAAAGTCAGTTGTTATTGTAAGATTTGTAAATAGAAAGGACAAAAGGGAATTACTGAGCCAAGGAAGAAATCTAAAGGGAACAAACGTATATATAAATGAACATCTCACAAAAGCAAACGCCGAAATAGCTAAAAAAGCAAGGTTTCTTAAAAAACAAGGTAAAATCATGGCTACATGGACCTCTAACTGTAAAGTCTATATTAAGACAAACGGCACACCAGAGGAGGCCAGAGTTATTTACATCAGAAGAGCTGAGCAGCTAGAAAGATTGTGTGATTGAAGTTTCTTTGTTATTTTCTTCTTGTTATGAGTAATGATTAAACTAACACCTAGCTTTCATAGATTTGGAATTCACTGAACACAACATGGAACAAGACAAAATTTATGATATTGATATAAATATAGAGCAACATGTATTTAACATAAAAAATACTTGTGAATACTACAATGAGGACGTGGTTAATCAGAAAATAACAGACAAAAC